TTCATTTGGAAGTGCTTCACTGGGATACTGCCTGTGGGAGTGAACTTAAGGAAAAGAGGGGTTGAAATTGAATTTATCTGCCCTGTGTGTGGAGATGCTGAAGAAACAACAGAACACCTATTTCTTCATTGCACCAAAGCTAGGACTGTTTGGAAGTTGGCTCATGTTTCTTGGGAGGGTATTGATCTGCAGGATCTTAACTTCAAATCTTGGTGGTGGCAGGTTTGTGCTATTAAAAAATCTGAAACCTCGGAGGCAAGGATCCAACTCTCAACATTTATCCTATAGTGGCTTTGGAGATCTCGGAACCTGTGGGTGTTTTGCAAGGAAAGAGTCCCTGAAACCATCATCCTCAAGACAGCTTTGAGTGAGTGGCAGGCATTCAGGGACTTGGGATAGCTGCCATCCTTTGGAGCAGGCCATGTTTTTTCCTTTCTTTGTTTTGTTGTTCTGTGGGCTTTTCTTTTGGTCTTTTTAGTCTGTTGCTGTTTGTTGTTGTTTTTTCTTTCAGGTTGTGCTTTGCTATTTAATTGCTTTGTTTAGGGTGCTTTTTCAGTTGGTGTGTGTGTATTTGTTTGGAGCAGTGTTCTAAAAGTCGCTAGGCATCCGTTAGGCGCTCGACCAGCGCCTAGCGCCTAGAGCGCCTAGGCGGGGCCTAAAAATCAATATTAAATATCTTATTTTCTATTTATTTAACTACTAACAAAATAAAAGTATCTCAACTTATAATAAATCAACACACCTAAGTCCAAATAATAATATTAATATATTTTAAAGAAAACATGAGAACAAAATAATGTAACTAGTATTTTAAAAAAAAAAAACTGAAAAATTGCCGCCGAGCCCGCCTAGGTCCGCCTACGCCCGCTCAGGTGACGCCTAACCGCCTGGCCGCTGAGCCCGCCTAGGAGCGCCTAGGGCCGCCTAGGCCCGCCTAGCTGATTTTTTTGACCGATTTGTGCAAATCGGAGGCGCTCGGGCACCGCCTAGGCCGACTTTTAGAACAGTGGTTTGGAGTAATCAAGGTTCAGGTGCATGTACCTGCTTGATACCCCGGGTGGGTTTATTTAGGCCACTGCTAGTTAGTGTGTCTCTCAGTTTTCACTTCTACCCGTTGGTAGGCTCGTGAGGTTATGTTTGAAACTTTGATTTGTTTTAGGAGAATTTCCTATCGTTTGGAAAAAAAATATATATATATTTTGTTGCTTGACAAAGAAAAATCTCTCGTGCCTAAGAGATTCAATAAGTTAAGGCATAATTTCAAAATTAGTCCTATAATTTTATCACTTTTCAAAAAGCACATCGATATTGACCACTTTCAAACTTGGTCCTATAATTTGACATTTTAATCAAATTTGGTCCCTTTTATCCGGAACATGGATTAAAACGTGATTAACAAATGATCAAAACTGATTAAAAAGGACCAAATTTGATTAAAATGTCAAATTATAGAACCAAGTTTGAAAGTGGTCACTATCGGGTGGTTTATTGGAAAGTGGTCAAATTATAGGACCAATTTTGAAATTATGCTAGATGACGAGATTCTATTACTCTTATATATCACACACTATGAAATAATTATAACTACGAAAAGAATAAGAATGGATAAAACCAAAAAACCAAAAAATCAAAACAAACAACAGCTCCTCCTAATTTGGATTATGTCCAAAAAATGTACCATATATAGTACATTTTCATTTCACATCCTAATTGCGGGCTTGCGGCGGTCCCTCAAGACGAATGTAGTCGTACATGGCACCGGCAAAAGGGCCCGAAGTCCTCGCTTGCTTAAGATATATCGTGTTTTCGCCATTAACCAGCTGAAATCCTGATAAGTTGACCTCGTATAACCAGTATTTTCCATGAATGCCATGCCTTGCAATTGTATTGTCTCTGCCAATTTTCCCGGTCGTAAAATGAGGCTGATGACTATAAGGATTATTAATCCATACCTAATATTATAAAGGTAAACGTTGTTTAATTAGTATTTCAGTTATACTTGGAAGAATTCGCGTAAGATTAAGAGAAAATGTTTTGCATGCATATATACTTGTAACTCGGCTAAGCTAGCCGAAGCCAATGCCAGCCTCAACGTGTAAGTCTCTCTTCTCCGAACATTTCTTGCATCGAACACGATTCTCCAAGTTGTTGGCATATAGTTGGTATTGTTCACATTCCTGCAAAAAAAATTTTTTTAAAAAAAAGATGAATTTCATCGAAAGGGTTCGTTAAATAGACAATAAAAGAGGTTATTTTATTTTTTTACTTATTTACGTGGGCGAAAAACCAGTCTTTACTATAGTCGCTAACCCCAACTGTGTTGTAAATCAGATCTTCAGTAGACAATTCTTGTCCTGGTGAAGTTTGAAGCTTTACTTATCCTGGTGAAGCTTGAAGCTTTTCTTTCACAACCAATTCCAGGTGTGCAGAATCTTCTTTCCCTCCCTGTTTTTCCTCAACAATACACCTTTTGGGCAAATATACTATTATCCCATCAAAACATTTTTTTTTTCTTCACAAAGTGGCTCGTATTAATAAAATTTTTTAAAATGATTGCTATTTTGAAATGAGAATAATGTAATTTAGTATCAGTCAGCATGCACTACAGTAATTGTGTACTAATTTTTATATAGACATGTTTTATGTAATTTTACAAAATTTAAATTTTAGATATTATTTTTATAAGAATTAATATAGTTAAATTGTATTTGGTCTCGATTCTATATTTTTAATTGATAAATATTATTTAATAAATATTTTTTTAATTTATAAGTATTAATGAATATGTTTACTCAATATGGTTACTCATTAGTCAAGAGTTATATTAACATGTGTATACGATGAGTGCGGGAGCATTTCGACAAACAAACAAATAATGAAAATGATTGTGATGCGAACTAAAAAAATACCACATAAATATACGATACAACAAACTCATCCTCAAGAAGAAGAGAGAAGGACTCCGACACCCAAAATCGAAATCGACAACGGCCACCGCACACCGGCCACTCACGGTTCTCTGGCTCTTCAAATCGGCTAGCCCTCGCCCCGCTTCAATCTCGACGTCCCTCTGCTACTCTCTAGTTCAGGTATTGATGGCTAAAATCTTTGAATGTTCGTTTTTGCTGTACCTGTGGCTAGATTTGAGAAAACACTGAACAATTGATTTATTATTTGATAGGGGGATCGGCTGCTGTTGGTTGTTGGAAATGGCAGATATGGAAATCGCCGATAAAGGTCAGCCCCACGCACCCTGCAACGACAATTTGATGTTTTTGGTGCAGCATGTCATCTATGGGGCACCCGTCGGTGGCTGGGTGCTGCAGCAGGATGTCAAGACAACCCTCGATTGCTTAGTAATCTCAACCAAAAATAACTCGTTCAAAGTGCTGCAAGACGACGACGGTGATGATGATCATCTTCCATTTCCAAACTTGTCTCGGCTCAAAGCTGACAACTACAATCACATTCTTATGAATGGCAATTATGAAGTTCTTGCGACTTGCGACTCATGGATGCTGTTGACATGTACGAAAGAACCTGAATATACATGGGACGTACTCTGGGACCCCACAGCCGACGAGATGAAATCCCTTCCGTATTTTTCTTTGGCTTCTCCTCGTTTGACGAATATTTGGGCATACGGATTCGGGTTTGATCCTTCAGGGGGCGGGTATAAGGTGGTCAGATGTCGCGCCAGAACCGATTATGATTATGACGATGACAATGACGATGATGTTACTCAGATCTACGTTGAGCTGTTGTCGCTCGCAAGTGGTTCGTGGAAGGAAATTCCGTATCCTCATGAACCCCGTTATGAACCTGTTCAACGAGAATCTCTTCACATCAACGGAGTTTATTATTGGCAAGCTAGACCTACTGGAATTATTTCCTTCGACTTTGCTAAGGAGGAGTTTACCCCTGCTCTAATCCCTATGCCCAGGAGTGATAAGCTCAAAGGGGGTGATTATATTCTTTCTGAGATAGATGAGTCACTTGCTGTAATTACTTTCGAGTATGGTAAATGGCCGTCTGTGGAAAGCAATAATATTGCTATTGCTGCTGATGAAATGAAGCCTTTTATTTTCGAGCTTTGGGTGTGGAAGGCCCCCAAATGGTCTCGAGTGTCCTCAGGGAATGTCCCGGCTACAGCACGTGCTCATTGCGTATTGGGCCTCTACAATAAACATAAACTGCTTCTTTGGAGCTCCGATTGTGACTTACTGCTTTACGACATTGAGAGTAGTGATTGGAAGAAGCTCGGTATCCATGCTGAGTTGTTTGGTCTGCATGTCACCCCATATGTTGCCAACGCCGACTCCAAACTCAAATCCTCGATGATAAATCTCTCGTCTGGTGCCAGTAACGTCGTTGCTAGTGCTCCGCTGAGCCCCAACTTGAAGCGTAGTAACAACAACAATGATAATCTTATGCTTATGGTGGAGTGTCTACTCAACTGGACCCGCAATTACTTTGTATTGTCAACGGAAAACGACATGTTCAAAGTGGTACAAGATGAGAACAGTCTTCCTAACTTGTCTCTACTCAAAGCGCAAACCTACGATCCCATTTGTCTGTATGCCAAGTATCACGTTCTAGCGAGTTGCTCCACTTGGATGCTGTGGATGTGTACCCAATATCCTGGAAGTCCGCTGGAGCTTTTGTGGGACCCTAGGACCGACGTGCTCGTAACCCTTCCCTTTTTTGAGGCTGTGTCGCGCGTGCCTTGCCCAATTATCACGGCTTTGGGGGGTTACGGTATCGGGTTTGTATCAGGAGAATATAAGGTGGTCAGATGTCGTGTGTTCAAGCATTTCCATTGCGAAAACGAAGCTCACGCGGAGCTCTTCTCGCTCGAAACTTGTTCGTGGAAGCAAATTCCGTTTCCCCATGATCCCCAACTCGAAACCATGCAACATCCTTCGCTTCACATTCACCTCAATGGCTTTTATTATTGGCTAGCAGCGGATCCCACCAAGACGGAGGATCTTTGTGTTATTTCATTCGACTTTGCTAATGAGGAGTTTCCTCGTGATCTCATCTGTATGCCGGAGAGCAAAATTGTCCCCAGGCTTGACTGTGTTTCTCTTGCCGAGTTTTGTGGGTTGCTGGCTGCTATTGTTTTTGATTATCAAGCATCGCCTTTTATTTTTGAGATATGGGTACGGGCTAACGGCATCTGGTCCCATGAATCCACATACAGAGTCACTCCTCCTTGTGCTCATGCTGATGCTGGTGTTGTTTATAGGAGGGTTGTCGGCCTGTACAAGGATGATAAAGCATTTCTTCAGGACTCGGAGGGTTACCTATGGGTTTATGATCTCGTGAAGCATGAGTTGGAGCGTACCGGCATCTGTGATGATAGTTTTTGTCTGGCAGTCTACCCTTATGTGTGAAATTAGTGAATGAGAGTCTCTGGTTTTGTTTTTAGCAGCACAACACATTATTAGCAAAATGTTGCCCCGTATCTTACTCATGTTGCTAATATCTTATTTTCATGAACTGGAAACTCGACAGTGTGTCATATTCATCAGTCATCACACAACCTTTACATTCTCCACAAAATATATATTGCTATTAAGGATGTCTATGGATGTGCTCGTCCAATAGTTAGTGGGAGTTTGATCTGATGTCAGAGGTGCAACCAAAGAATTGAAACAGTGGATAACATAAATAAACATGCACCATTAAATGACAAAAAATTGTAATCAACACTTCATATTCTGCCTCATTGTTTGATACTCGCAATCCCAGCCTGGTCGCAAACTCCAAGTTTTCAAATTTAGGTGAGACCAAGACAATTCCTAGTCAGCTCCTCCCTTCGAGACTGATCCATCTTTCAATAATTGCCATTTTCCTCCAGCCTCGAGCTCGATTCCCGTTCCTTCATGGATGAAATTAGCTAGAACATGGGCCTTGATCGCCCTCTGAGGCTTATATTCGATCATGTGCCTGCTCAGCTATGGCACACTTCACCATTCGACTAGACACATATGGTCGACCAAGAGTTTCTCCCAGAGGTAGGTTTCTTCTCACCTTCACCTTATGAGTTAGAAAATATAGCTTTAACTTTCTGACACTATGATTGAAGCTCTAAAGCATCTCCAATGCATTTTTTGACATTATAAAAGATCATCCATATATATCATCAATTCTTAAAAGTTTGTTACTAATTTATTTCCCGATGCATCTTTTCATTAGCTCTTTCATGATGTCGTGGATATCATATAATGAGCGTGTACAGAAGGGAATAGGAAGAGATAAATCTCAAAAGTCTATATTTTTATTTATAAAAATTGATCGACAAATACATAAAAGAGATAAATATATTGAGTTCTCAAGTCCTAAAATATTTAACTTACCCACTATAAGTAAAATAAAAATAACAAATCACTTACCAAACTAAATAAAGTAATATATTATTAGTTTTGTCTATTATCTATGACGTCGATGATCTTGCTTCTGAGAGAAGGGAAGTCCGATCTCGTCGCCATCAAATCTTGAGATTTATCTCTTTTGTTTCCAATCGTATACGCTCACTGAGTCATCTTTTGAGAGGCCCTTTATATATAGAGTAAAAAAAATGATATTGAACATTCCTAAGTATTTTGTTGCTTGGCCAAGAAAAATTTCTCGTGCCCAAGAGATTCAATAAGATGACAAGAGGTTCTATTACTCTTATATATCACACACTATGAAATAATTATAGCTATGAAAAGAATAAGAATGGATAAAACCAGAAAACCAAACAATCAAAACAAATAACAGCTTCTCCTAATTTGTATTGTGTCCAAAAAAATGTACCATATATATGTACACTTTAAGTCTCATTTCAAATCCTAATTGTTGCCTTGCGGCGGCCCTTCAAGACGAATGTAGTCGTACATGACACCGACAAAAGGGCCCGAAGTCCTCGCCTGCTTAAGATATATCGTGTTTTCGCCATTAACCAGCTGATATCCCGATAAGTTAACCTCATATAACCAGTATTTTCCATGAATGCCATGCCTTGCAATTGTATTGTCTCTGCCTATTTTCCCGGTCGTAAAATGAGGCCGATGACTATAAGGATTATTAATCCATACCTAGTATCAGTAAAGGTAAAAGCTGTTTAATTAGTATTTCAGTTATACTTAGAAGAATTCGCGTAAGATTAAGAGAAAATGTTTGCATGCATATATACTTGTAATTCGGCTAAGCTAGCCGAAGCCAATGCCAGCCTCAATGTGTAAGTCTCTCTTCTCCGAACATTTCTTGCATCGAATACGATTCTCCAAGTTGTTGGCATATAGTTGGTATTGTTCACATTCCTGCAAAAAAATAAAAATAAAAAATAATCACAACTGCGAATTAGATTAAATTTCATCGAAAGGGTTCGTTAAATAGACACGAAAAGAGATTATTTTTTTTTACCTATTTACGTGGGCAAAGAACCAGTCTTTACTATAGTCACTGACCCCAACTGTGTAAATCAGATCTTGAGTAGGATATAAATCTGTATACCTATCCCATAAACCATATTGCCTATACCTGAATCCAAATATTTTTCACTTATCAGTATCAACTAAGTTAACATTCTTTTTTGTTTTAACCAAAATTTTGATCATTACTTTTCGGTATGGTTTATGAACAGCTTGTTCACAAGGCCTGGAGCAGGATCAGGCACGTAAAACTCGGCTGCCGTGCGATCAGGAATCCCGATTTCCCATAATGTGGGCCCACTTCTCGGTGGATCGTATACAAGTTCGTCTATTTCGATTTTGCTTCCTGTAAAGAAATCAAATGAATAAGTTTGGTGTCTAAATCATACACCATATATAAAGTGAACATTTTTGCTAGCCAAAAAAAAACGAGCAATCGCGTTCTTTTTTTCTTTTTTTTTTTTAAGGTTAACGAAACCTGGTCGGATTGTAACGTTAGCATCATGCTTATAGTCTCCGATGACTCCCGGGACCCAAGCGTGCAAATTATAAGTCTCTGCTCGAACACCGTTTATCGTGAAATGCCCTGTTTCATTAGCCTGTGTCCAAAATTGGTACCCCTGCCAATACAGATAATTAATAGCATCATCATTATTATTACATAAATTATAAGCATAAACAGCTCATGTTTAATGTTAATCTTCACAAAGTTAACTATGTTGTTGTAAGGAAGATATATATAAACAACCTTGGAATCATCTTGCCAGGACCCTACATTTCCAGGTTGAGCTAACCCCACATAAGCGAATTTTGCCGCCATAAGCTCCCGATTATTGATGTACTTGTCGCGGACCATTAATCGACCGGTTATGGTCCCACGTTGACTGCCACCTGGGAAATCTTTCGACGCTGGAAAATCGTAAGGCCATTTTTCAATCTCTTCCGACATCTGATAAAGTAAAAGTCACTGAATGAATACACAAAGAATCTTTATGGTGTGATTTTGCAACAAAGAATGTATTAGTGGAGACTGACTTGTCTCTTAGCATCCTCCCAGAGTACAGTCGATTTATTGTCGGGATCAGCATTGTTAAGGTACACAAAAACGGGCCCGAAAACCTTCTTCCAAGGCTCACCATCGCGTAATTTAACTCCAAAATTGGGGCCCGCGTAATGGTCGCTAAAGAATATCTACTCGAACGAAAACAAAAAAGTAGAAATAAAATGAATAATGCGGCTTTTTTTTAGTCGATTATGACTTGATAATGACTTTAATGAGTAGACTATGTAAACAAGGATGCACTTACGGCTAGTGAAGTTGGGCCTGCATGGGACGTGAGGTCGGGCTTGACGGGCCCACCGGCTCTGAACTCGTCACTTGGCGTAATCACCCAAAATCCAACCTTCGGGTTCGAGCTAATCCACCCGTGGACTCGGTTATCCTTGTTATCACACGAGTATTGATACTTGTCATCGACCTGTTTTTTTTTTTTTCTCTTTAGTTCTTGATTTGTTCATCTAAATATCGGGCTTCGTTTTTCGAAGTGTCACATTAAATTAACACAATACCTCTCCTTTGAGTCTTGGATTATGGGAACTTGTGATCAAAACAGCTTCTTTGTAACCAAGAATCTGGCCGGCTTTCCTATCTTTATCGGTTGGCATGAATCGTTGCTTATTGTCTGATATAACCATGTAATTGAATCTGAAAAATCATGCAGTTCTGTATCAGCCAACATTTTCTTTTCTGAAGTAATAAGAATAATTTGACAAGCATTATTTATCAGCAATATTCTTTACTTGTCCTGGTGAAGCTTGAAGGCAATTCTTGCTTCGTCGATGTTCAAATCGGGCCACCCTTCCAAGTGCTCGAATATTGCATACGAGTAGAAACCAGAAACCCCACGCAGGACTATAAACCTGAGAAGAATATACAATGTTTATTAATCATAGTTCAATTTTTGTTTTTATCGACGTAACTTTTAAAACGATAATACTAATTGTGAAAATCGAAAATGCACCGCTTATCGACATTTAGGGGTACGATTTTTTCACCACGGGACTCGCTCCAAGTCTTGGTGAACGAGACTTCAATTTGATCGTCAGTTTGTTCTACAACTTTGAAGTTTGTACAGTCAAGCCTGCACATTAACGTGACTAACTTGTGATCATTTTATTACATATCTAACAATAATTAACTGATGTTTCGAAAATTGAGAATGGCTTTTAGAAATTCGAGAATTTTTACGTGTCGAAAAAGCTCGAGTCTTTCTGTGGCCTACTCCATACAATGTCCCAGTAACTGCATTGCCAAATTGTAAAACAATTATAAGCCCAAAAAAAAAAGGTGAGAGACTTAACACGATTTTTTACTCACCCTCTACGATCTTCCGCATTTTTGTACTCGAGAATGTTTTCGATTCCTCTATAACTTACGCCTGTAATAAAGCCGCTCGGTTTCAGCAATGTGAGTTTAACGATGCCGTTATCCATCTCCACCTGCAAGAAAATTTCCAAATAATAATAATAACTAGTACAATGCCCGTGTACGCGGGTGCTTGTTAAAAAATTATTGACAATACACGGAGCTTGAGACTCTTACATGCTTATCCGATACACGGAGCTTGACCGGAGGAGATGAACTTTGACCACCCTGTGAAATGCCCCTGCATAAATTAACCAAACTTATTTATATTTAATATACTAATTAAGCTTTTATATAAGATCATAGAAAATGGTGAAACACAATTATAAAATTAAAGTATGTGATATATTGATGTACAATTAATTATATAAACGCATTTTTAATTTAATTTTGTATATAAAAGAGTCCTATTATTTTAAAAAGATATATAAATCCACATATATGTGAACGGAATTAATGAAAGAGTCTTGAAGTGGTTGGACCAACGAAAAGAAAATAATAAATCATATTATATATATGTTGGACAAAACTTTATTGAATTTCATTTTGTTCTCCTCTTTATGTTAGCATTTATTATCGTACCATGTAGGCATGTACTTACATGTATTCTACTTGAAAAATATTATTATTATTTTTTTTTTTGTGAATATTGGAAAAAATTCACATGTTTAATTTATGGGAAAAAAAATGGACGTGCAACTGAAAAAATATTGAGGAAATAAATCAATGAATTATGGTAAGATCAAATTTAGATCATGAGCATAGTGGCTATATCCACTAGTTTATAGTTTATTTGATTAGCTTATAACACTACAAAAAAAAATAATGAAATTCTAACGAAAATATACTTCAATAAAATTATTCCAACGGAAATTTACATGGATATTTTAATGCTATTATTTCTGTTGGAATTTTTCAATGAATTCCAACGAAAATTCTAAAACAAAATATTCCGTTTGAATGGGTTTTTCATTGGAATTTCCGTTGAATTTTTACGATTTCAACAGTGGATTTTTCAACGAGAGTTGAATTAAAAATTCAAATTCCAACGGAAATTTCTACAGTAAAAAGTCGTTGGAAATATAGTCGTTGGAATCATCAAATTCCATCAAAAATTCCGTCGAAAAAACACATTCCAACAAAATATTTTTGTTGGAACCATTCCAACGGAAGCTTTAGCATTGGAATATCCGTTGGAATTTCTATTGAAATATATTACCATAGGATTTTCCGTTGAAATATAATATTTTTTTTTGTGTAGTGTAAGCTCCATGTATTCAAATAAGCTCCGTTTGGTAGGACGAGCTTTTTTAAAAAGCTCGAGCTTATTTGATAAGCTTCTTTGGGTAGCTTTTCAAACAAGCACGTTGAAATATTTATTTCAACTAACTTATCAGCTAATTTTACCAAGCACTTTTATCATATAAGTTATATTTTCAGCTATAAGTCATAAACTATAATTTATAGGCTCGAAGTTACTGATAAGCTACAAGCTAGATTATCAACTAGTTTTACCAAACGTAGCTAATGGCGTACCTATCTGATTATGTGGCATCCCACACATGTAAATGTGTCAAAATAGAATTATGAATCCTAGCCGTTCACTTTGAAATTATACATTGGGAGTAAATGAACTTTTTAATTAACACGTACCAAATTGACAATTTATAATTGGTGGAAATATAGTCTAACTAATGAAAAAAAAATTTAAAAAAAAATAAATTGGAATATTTGGAAGGTTTTTTGGTTAGAATTACCCTATCCACAACAAGCTAATAGCTATAGTAGGGCATTGTGACAACAAATTCAACACAAAGTTGGGATTAGTTATGAAAAAATATTGTCCCAACAAAAATAAAAATAAAAAAAAAAATTAAAAAAAAAGGTGGTAATATTTATCATTTGTGTGGTTGGACGCCTACTTTTCAATAGATTATCAAGACTTTTATTGCATATATAACAACAAATTAAGTAGATTACCTATTTCTAAATCAAAACACAAAAGGTAATAAAAAAAAATGTATATATTATTTTTATATTTTGCCAGTTTTGAAATTAATTGCAATTTTTACATGGCACAATGTAACGATTTCATTTTATTATTATTATTATTATTATTATTATTATTGTTGTTGTTGTTGTTGTTGTTGTTGTTGTTGTTGTTGTTTCGATTAATTAACAATTTAAAGTCTATAGGTTTGTATAAATTGTAACCAAACGTTGAAGAAATTAATCTTATTTTCAAATTGGTTAGGTAGATATATATTCCTAAGTTGGTCCTCTTTTCATACTACATACATATATATTGAAAATTACATATAGACACATGTATAATTTTCCTTTTACAGTAAAGGCCAAATCTTGTTTTACAGCCACACTGTTATATAAGTAGAAAGAGAACAAATTTAGATTCACGGTTTTGTTAGGAGTCAACCTTCTATATACATCAAGTAAACCTATCGTATTCTCTGATTATTTAAATAAAATTAATATAATTTTATTAATATGGTATGACTTATTTGTTGTATATATAGAAGGTTGGTTCCACTATGAAGCTAATTGTTGGCTTCATAGCAAAACCGTTTAGATTCAATAATTCATGAACATGTTAAAGCAGAGAGTGTGAATTAATTCATGCATGAATGAGCCGTTCACTTCATCGACATGGTAAAGAAAACGAATGGTATTAATTGTTGTATATCCATATGAACATATTAATAAAGCAACGTATGATAAAAAAATATATATATAAAAAAAAAATAAAAAAAATAATAAAAAAAATTTACCTTGCATGAATCATTGTAGCAGCATCAAGATTGAGCAATATCGAGAAAAAAAATACGATCACGAGGAGCATTGAACGCCTAATTCGACTCTTGTTCATGTTCGCCGCCATCCACAAAATTATCTGCAAGGATAAACAACGATGGTGTACCATATTAAAGTCCTTATTCACGAGATATATAAGAAAATAAACACGATACGAAATTTTTACTCGTCCGATTCAATGTGAAGCATGTAGATTATAAAAAGAATTTAAAAAAAAAAGAAAGAAATGTTAAAAAGCAGAGAAATTAAGAAAAAAAAGCAACGTACCTTGTGTAGAAGAACAAAATTGAACAAAAGCTGAAAGCTGGTTTTAATTATATAGCTTCTTTTATTAACTCTTTAACTTTTGAATTTAGTTTTGGTTGACTAAATAATGAAACTCCTCCTGCAAAAAAAAATAAAAAATTATAAGTGGATGATGGAGCAGTTCAAATTCGAGTAATAAAGGCATATATATATATGAGTTTTTTTTTTATGGAGCCATCAGATGGTTCGGCTTATGGAGTCAATCCATAGTTATTCACAAATAGTGTATTGACATGTGTCCTATAATAAATACACGTGGGACAGGTGTCGATACATTAGGTGATTGATAGCTTCGTAAGAAAACCATTCAGTTGATCCATAGAATTTTTGATATACATATTAAACCAAATTAAATACTACTTAGGATGATTATTATTATTATTATTATTATTATTATTATTATTATTATTAATGTTATGACTATTAAAACCCGTGTCTTTATACGTCTTTATTATTCAATTTCACTGTATATATAGGATTTGGAAAAAAACCGAAAGATATATAGTGAGGCGGTAAACGAAATTGAACATAAGACTATAAAACGTTGACTTTTTGGATTCTATGTATTAGGTTTTTTTTAGGTATATTAACAGTTGAGAAGAAAACGTTTTATTTTATAATGTACTTTCTACTTGATTAACATGTGTGTATTTTGTAGCCTTTAGTTAATTAATTAAG